GGAACAGAATATTAGAATTAAGAGCGTGTTCGGTAGAGATTAAAATCGAATTAAAATTGAAAAACTAACTGTTATTGTTGACTTTTATTTGACGAGTGGGACCCAATAACGATTATATTTTCAATTTTAATTGGATTTGAAGATTAGCCAAACATGTTCAAAGTTTCAAAATGCAAAAGTCAGGTTTTATTTTGTTTTAATTTCAAATAATAATATTATCAAATTAAATTAATCTACCCATACCCACCCCACTCGTCAGCGTCCATCATCGTTGTCATCCCATGACCTCCACCCCGTCGATGACTTCTTTAGCATTGAACTAATTGTCTCCCAAGGATTACTAAGTTTGTTGGTGACTAGGATTGAGCCGTGTTAGTATAATTTAAAACTTTTTTTAAAAATTGAAAATTGAAATTCAGCCCATGGTGTAATTTATAAAGCACATATTGGAGCAAATAACTTGAATTCTCATCGAATAAATTTAGTTAATTGAATTTGTGACCAGTTCGGATAATTGAGGTTAGAGAAATCAATGGCATATGACCAGATTTCTTGAATTTGTAAAATGTAACTTATATTCTTTGACATGCGACACATGTGACCTGATCCATTGACTCGTGATCAAATCTCTTAAATTTGTGACCAAATCTCTTGAATATGTGACTTATGACCTATGCACTCGACGTGTGACCTACGACCTGATTCAATGGCCGTGAACAATCTCTTAGATTTATGAACAAATCTCTTTAATTTGTGAGGTTTGACATATACACTTTGACGTATGCCTACTACATGTGACTTTGACTTGATCTAATATAGGTGAATATCTCTTCGATCTATGACCCGATCCAATAGCCCCTAACCAAATCTCTTAAATTTGTGACTCATGATCTATGTACTTTGAAATGTCACATATTCAAGATATTTGGTCACATAAACTCAAACGATTGTGACCTATACACCTCCACCATCACCATTTGTAGACATTGATCCATAACCAACATTACACTTCAACCACCACTATCACCATCACCACTAACAACCCAACAATCAAGTAAATAACCAATGCTAAAACATCATAAAAACCAGCACAAAATCGCTACCAAACCTTCACAAAAACCACTTCCAACCACCACTTTGAGCACCTCATCCCACGTTCACCAAAACCAAGACCACCGCCGCAACAACAAAACCACCGTCGCCTGCAAGAATAGGAGAGTGAGAGATGAAAGAAAGAGAGTGCGAGTGAGAGCAAGAGATAGAGATAGAGATGAGAGAGACTACAATTCTGGGTTTTGTTAATACCTAATTTATGCTCAAATAAACTTAATACATGATTTTAAAATTGTCATCTTTAAATACCTGTTGTGGTTTAGTTTCCACTAAGAATAATTAGGCTCTACACTATAGTCCCACTATCCAAATGTAAAATACGTAATATTTAACTAGTGTGTATTTTGGAGTGAAATGTTTAAATAATCACTGAACTTATACTATATGACCACAGACTATTCATAGAATTTCAAAACGCTTCAATTTATTTACTGAACTTTTTTCATTTGTGCTCCATCCATCATCAGGGAAAATGGATGAAAAAGGGATGATTTGGCATGTGTTTACATGCCAATTGCCACGCATGTCTTCCTTCCACGTCCATGTAATAGTTTTACCTCGATGATGGAAAATTGAAAAAATTCAGTGAGTAAGTTGAAATATTTTGAAGTTCAATGACTAATCCGTGATTATAGTATTGTAGTGATTTTTCAAACATTTCACTCGTGTATTTTTTTTCCACGAAAATAAAATTTTAAAATGCAAACCACCACTATACCGGTAGAATCCACTACAAATCCAAAACCGCTCTCATATTTTCTACTCTCACTCTCTCTAGAACAGTAAATTTCTCTCTCAAAAATCCCTCCCACAATGGCGTCCCCTCGCGAGGAGAGCGTGTACAAGGCAAAGTTGGCAGAGCAGGCCGAACGTTACGAGGAGATGGTGGAATTCATGGAGAAGGTGGTGGCGTCCGTGGACGGCGGCGAGGAGTTGACGGTGGAGGAGCGCAACCTTCTGTCAGTGGCATACAAGAATGTGATCGGCGCTCGCCGCGCTTCCTGGCGTATCATCTCCTCAATCGAGCAGAAGGAGGAGAGCCGCGGTAACGAGAGTCACGTGTCCGCGATAAAGGGATATAGATCTAAGATCGAATCTGAGCTCTCGTCCATCTGCGAAGGGATTTTGAAACTCCTTGACACAAAGCTCATAGGATCCGCATCCAGCGGAGACTCTAAGGTGTTTTACCTGAAGATGAAGGGAGATTATCATCGCTACTTGGCGGAGTTTAAGACTGGAGCTGAGAGGAAAGAAGCCGCAGAGAACACTCTCTCGGCTTACAAGTCGGCTCAGGTTAGGGATTCGGTTTCTTTCGATGGTGATGCATTATATAATTTCTATTTTTTTGTGATCTACGGGCAATCGTTGGGAAACTTGTTACATGGAGCGGTGGAATTTAGGTTTTATTCTGCGTTTTGTTTGATGATCTCGAGATGATTGTCAATATGGACTGCTATAGTCAGTGATTTATGATTTTTCTATCTTTGACCCGTTTTATTTTGGTCTATTTGTAGATAAAATTGTGGAATTAAATTAATTTTGTTCTATTTGGTTAATATTGGGCGATCTGAAGGCGATCAATTTGATGATTGTTGCAAATATGTTATCGTACAAATTAATGGGGGATACGGTTTTTGGGTTTGTACTATTGCTTATTTGTAACTAGATATATATTTATATATGCATTAGTATGTTTTGCTGCAAATGTGAATAGCACTTTTATGCAAAATGCAGTAGAGAAATTTGCTTTTTTCATGATTTAATCATTCTTATAAAGCAGGCATGTAATGTGAACCAAATAACTTGATGCCATGATTCAGATCATAAAAATTCATGCTTTATATTGTATATTTTGTTACTGAGTGCAATTTGGATTTTGAATTTGTAGGACATTGCAAATACAGAGCTTGCCCCAACACATCCAATCCGGCTTGGACTTGCTCTCAACTTCTCAGTGTTCTACTANCCCCCCCCCCCCCCAACCCCAAAAAAAATGAAAAAGAAAAGTACGAGTACATAGTTCTGAATCATTTGTGGTAACATAAACGAGATCTGAAAGAATTTGGCATCTGGCTTGCTTGAGTTTGTAATTCAGATGGGCCTTTTCAGTTGATAGGAACGTTATAAGTATGCACTAATATTTGCTCATCATATCCTGGCAAGGCTTTTGATGAGGCAATTGCGGAGTTGGACACGCTTGGAGAAGAGTCATACAAGGATAGCACTCTGATTATGCAGCTTCTCCGCGACAACCTAACTTTGTGGACTTCAGACATGCAGGTAAATTTTTTCTGTTTGTATTTTGTGGAGAGCTTTTCCCAACCACTGCTGTTGTTTAAAGGAGTTACTTATTGATCATGGTTGTTGTGCTTGTGTGTAGGACGATGGTTCTGAGGAGATCAAGGAAGCAGCACCAAAGCAAGATGAATAGTACATTTTACGATTTCCGACTTGATTGTTTTGCTATTTAGTCTGTTTATTCAAATTGAAAATGCTGCTTGTAGCCATTAGTTATCTCTATAATCTACTTCTTTGCCTATCTGAAATTTTAGAGGCTTCTTATTTCTATCACTTGTTTATTACCTTATTTATTTTATTCTCAAAAGATTACCCTTAATTTTTGTGCCAACCATTGTTTGTTCATAATTCACGTTTCTTGTCTCTTGGGTAACAGTCTGTCTATAATTTTGCTTACAACCCCTTCTACATAGTATTAGTTCATACAGGCTTAATGTAAAATTCTTCACTAATATATTCAATTCTGAGATCATGACGAATCTTTATCATACTTTGTGATTCAATTTCACGAGATACTTCATTTATCGGTATTAGTTTAATTTAGTTTTGGTATGTTTCGTTATGCGCTACAGCAATTTAACGTTCTCTACGTTCTTGAAGAATTGGTAATTACAATTTGATTGATAGGTTGGCCATAATTATGATATAGGAGTAGAAATTAAGTTGATGAGTGTGGCCCAGTGTACACTTGCATCAATTAGGACATGTTTGGCTAAGCTTAAAAGTGAGTTAACCACCATTTTTTAGTCTTATGACACTGCACCTTTTGTTTTGTACGCCCCATTTTTAAGTGTAATGGAATTCATTAATCTATGCTAATTGTCATACTTGTGTCATCGACTTCTTTTCGTTTCATTTTCATCTTATCCATTCCGCTTTGTTAGTTCATAATATCACCTTGTCCGTTGCACTGACCGTGTTCCGTCCGCTGTCCCAAGGCAAAGAACTTCAAATCCATTTCGCGAAGAACCATGCTCTTAGTTGAATTGCTGCGGTTTGTCCTGTGTTGAGAATCTTCCATTAATTAACACATTTTGCCCCCATCCAATTGATGACGTTAGGACCCATAAAAAGATTTTTTGCATTTTTAAATAAGCAAAAATAATAATAAAAACAAAAGTTCGTAAAACTCTTTGTTCCTCGTTTAAATTAAGATAACCTAATTTTTAACATAAATTGTTATCGATAAAACTATTTGCTAATTAATTGAAATTTAAGAATAATAATGCGACAAAAAAAAGTAAGTGTCACCGTGTTAGATAATGTCACATGATACTCTACTATTTTTCAGTGTAAAATATTGTTGATTTTTTTTATTGAATCTTTTTCTCCACACTATATTGTATAATTCCTTACGAACAATTTTGATATACAAGGAGCAAAATTCAACAAAATAATATGATTTGAATATAATTATCCTTTTTTCAAAAAAGAAGTAAAAGAAATAGGTTTTAAAATCATTTATGGTAAAAAGAAAGTAACTTTTACATCTTTCGAAGTATAATCGATTATACATGGTCGCTCCCATGCACGTTCGTAGACCAATGGCTCCAATCCTTGGATGTCAAATGAATTAAATTAAGTTGCAGAAATTGCCTCCCGTCAAATTTATTTTATAAATAGATAAAAATGAGTTATGAATAAGTGCACAGTATTTGCGAATTCATTGAAATGTGTGGTTATAGAGCAATTATTGACTCCGTTTTTTGCACCGTAGATGTGGACAA